TTAGAGGCTGAGTACCTTAGCCCCAAAACAGGTTCCCCAAAACAGGTTAACCTTTTCAATTATAGTAGGATTATATAAGCCCCAAGAGGTTAAAGGTTACCTGCTCAGCCCCTAAGACCCAACATAATATAGGGGCCTGAATAATTAGAATGGGGTTCCTTTGAAAAGGGTCCCTTGAAAGGGATCTATGTGGGTCCTGTTGGGGAGTGTAGTATCGGGCTACGAGTAGGGGCCTGAATAATTAGAACAGGGTTCCTTTCTCTAACGGGTCCCTTTAAAGGGATCTATGTGGGTTCTGTTGGGGAAGTACTATGTAGGGCCTGAATGCTTAGAGTATGGTTTTGGGGTATATTAAACCATAGTTATAATAAGGACCCCCCAAAAAATATTGGCAATTATTTAGGCACCTAAATTGACAATATGGAACATACCAGAATATGTTGTAATTAAGCACAAAGAGCTAATACATAACGTAAGTCGTTAGAATTACAGAAAATGCCTTATACACTAAGTATTATCCTTGCAAGAACAACCGACCACCGGACCCTAACCGTCCTTCGTAATGTCTCAGCTAGTTGATGCTTTATACCTTTTAGCATAACCGTCGTCATGACCATCGCCATTCCGACCCCTTGACCCCTAGAGCGGCTAGACCCTGATCTCTCGATCGCCCCTAAACCCAAAACCCCTAAACCCCTAAAGCCCTAAACCCCTAAACCCTAAACCCCTAAACCCCTAAAACTCTAAAAACCTAAACCCTAAAACTCTAAACGCCTAAAACCCTAAACCCCTAAACCCCTAAAGCTCCAAAAACCTAAACCCTAAAACTCTAAACGCCTAAAACCCTGCACCCTAAGCCCAGTTGCTCACTTGCTTCTGTTGGCAGGATCGTCTGCGAAGCGGCCTCGGGCCCGAGAGCTTCGACGGGAAGTTTAGGGCTTAGGGGTTTGGGTTTAGGGCTTAGGGGTTTGGGTTTAGGGCTTAGAGTTTAGGGTTTAGGGTTTAGGGTTTAGAGTATAGGGTTTAGGATTTCAACCATTGTTACAGGAAACTACAGGTGGGGAGTTTAGGTATATAGGGCTCCTATAAGGCGTCTATAAGGTATCTAGACCGTCTGTAAGGCGCCTATAACGGTAACTACCCACCTGAGAATGTCCTAGACATAGCGTTTGATGAAGATTGAAATGTCTACTTGGAGGTTCATGGGTAGTTATAAGTGGGGTGATAAGTCGGGTAACTATACTTATAAACCATGTTAGGGGACTTATAACCCCACTTATAACTAACCATGAGCCTCCAAGTACTGGGTAGATTTTTGTACCATTGGGGCTTTCTGCCCCTGCGCATCTGGTCTCTCTTTTCTGCTAGTTCGTTCCTGGATTGTTGGACAGCTGAGCTTGAACGACAGGTCACGCTATGCCAAGAACGTCCGTTGCATGCTGAACTCTTGCCGTTATCAAAAAGCAACGGGCGTCTTAAGCTTTATCCACCTACACCCATCATAGAAATACGCTAACGAAAGCACTGCAGATCCTCAGAACTCGGGTCAAGGCAGTCTGAGAGCATCTGAAATCTCCCCCAACAATGGAAGATTCCTGAAGCCTAGCAAAAACGTTCGGCGAACCCTGGCCCTAAAAACCAGGCCCTGATCTAAATGTGGCAATATACCGCAACATTATCTTCTACAGTTGTGACCCTGAAGGGACATTAGAGAAACCCAAGTCTAGTAGTTACCCTAAGGCCCTAAACCCTTAACCCTAAAAAGCCTAAAAACCCTAA